TTCAGTTTCGGCTACACCAAGAAACCCTAAGGTTACTATAGCCAAAATTTAGTTCCCCCTCTCTCCAGTACCATTCTCTTGCTTGTGGTGTTTGTAAGCCATTGGAGGAGTGACATTTGTGACTCTAAGCTTCAAGGAAAAAAGATTCAGCCATTCTTGAAGAGGTAATCATCTAAATTTGTTCTTATATGATATTTCAAAATATGTATGCTAGATCTAGGGTTATTAAGTGTTGGATGAATTGTATGTACAATAGAGAAACCTAGATTTAAGCTTTGGGGTTTGTATGAGCACATAGGATGTTCTTTTGTATAAAACCCATCAAGCTTTATTGTAATTATGTTAAAACTCACAGGCAGGACACAAATTGTAGAAACTTTTATTAGGGGTTGGTAAGCCTTGGTGGCTGAGAACCATGGTCGCATATGTTTATTAGGCCCGGTAAGCCTTGGTATAATCGTCAACTTGCTGATTCGCGAATCCTCGTCAATAGTATCCTCAACATAATGGGTAATATGTTTAAATTTGGCCACACAACCAACATATTGTCATGCACGATAACTTAAGGTTAACCAAAATGAAAAATACTATTTTTTAAATACATACCGCATTACGATCTCAACACCATCGTTGTTTCATTGTTGCATTGTTTTTCGGAAAAAAAAGTCAATCAACATCATTATTGGTAGTTTTCGTGCATCTTTTTATAATGTATTGATGGACTCGATACTATTTGATGTCATTATATTAGAACGAACCTCAGGAAAACATGCCATTGCCTATTTACGGTGAAAGATTATGGCTTTCAATGTACATCAATCATTAGTTGGAGCACGTCGTAGCATACACAAGCTATCTTTAAAATCAGACTCTCGGTAAACTTTTTATGTTTCCCAAAACAAAATTTTGATTATCTCTTGTTTGTCGATATTTGTTTGCATGTTCATCAAAATATATTGACAATAGAGTCGATTATATGTGCTTGGGAACATGATCATCTCAATGGAAATGGACGTATTATATTTGATGACCAAAGGGTATATATAAACCCAAATAACTTAATTTTGAACTATCTTAGGAACATTATATGTGAATTTCAACACCATTTTTTTAAAAGAACTTAATTTTTATTAAATAAATTTACATTTATTAGATTTTGGTGATGTTCCAAAAGATAGTTTCGTAATTTCAAAAACTTTTTAATCCTTAAAAAATATTCAAAATCAACTAGATATGTAATAAACATAAATGTTAGCACTACAAATTGATGGTTTTTTATGATAGTTTATGCATAAATAGTGAAAGGATAGGTGTGGAGACTCAAACCAAAGTCTTTCCCTTTGGAAGGGAAAAACTAATGTTCTAAAAACTGGTTTTTTAGTTGAATTGGTATGGTGATCGGTTTTCAGTTCGACTGCCAAGTAAACCAGTTTCTATAATTTTAATATTTTTTCGTATTTTCGTCCACATATATACATACATAAATCAAGAATTTGATGTTCACAAGTTCAAATATTAAAAATACACATAAGAACATGTTGTAGATCAATCTAATAAATTAAAATAATAGATAACCACAAGTTTTACATCAATTCACATGTATTAAAAAAAATCCTAGATCAATACAAACGCATCAAAAAAACTTCATAACATTTATCATGTTCTTTTATTAAAAAAAATCTTAATAAATATGAAAAAATCAACAAAGTTTGTTATGTAAAATGTTTGAATTTCATGTGTTTTTATTCGATTTAACCGGTTCAACCGGATTTTTATAAAAACCGACCGGTTCGTTCCGGTTCAGAAATAGACATAAAACCGGTGATAGTCAAACTGATTTCTTCCCCAGTTCCCGGTCCACCCGGTTCGACCGGCCAATTCAATCCGGTTTTTAAAACATTGGGCAAAACTCACCATCCAACCATACCTTCTCATGTTATTTTTATTTTCGACAAAAAAAAAAGCAAGAAATTCTTATTTTGTGTGCGAATGTGAAATAATAAAAGAGAAAATTACGAAAATAGCCTAAACTCTTAATTATTCTGTAGAAAATAGCCAAAAAAAAAAAACTCAAATTACAAAAAATCATCAAATTCACAGATGACTTAAGCCCATCTGTGATTTTACCTTTTCATTTGCAAACATACAAGTCGCTAAAGCATGGGTACACTTTAGTAACTTGTATGTTCGCAGGTGGGGTTTTATTTATTTATTTATTAGTTTTTTCATTTTTTTTTTCCGAATAAATACTTGCAACCTCACACTAAAATCGCATATGCACTAAGTTCATTTGTGATTTCCTCTGCCATCCACCTGCGGTTTTGCATAATTTTTTTTTTATTTTGACTACGAAATTGATAGGGTTTGACTATGAAACAACCATATTATATATAAAGTTTTGCAAAAAATTATCACTTTAGTTGTTGTTTCTTAGGAAAATTTGTTTAAAATCTCTCTAATAAATGAATGAATATTTGGTTTGCGTTGTAACTAGTGGGAGGTGGAAAGTTGTGGAAACAAATCTTGAATGCGTATGTCCACAAGGAGGTATTTCTAAATTTGCTTTGATATTCTCCGAGTATATTAGTAATAGTGATTTTATATCTTTGGTGAGAATGAAAACCAATTTGACAGATACAAAATTAGTAACAATCTACTTCGTCGCATAATCAAATTTCGAACTTTGAGGATGAACTCATAATAAAGTTGAGATTATATATATAGTATTTTTAATAAGAAAACAATCGTATATATGTCATATTTATAGATCCTAGTAATCTGCAAATCATAGTCCAATGGCAACCATTTCGTAATTAGAGTTGGAATTCATAGATGATTGTTTGACATAACAAGTCATTGTGGTAACTTGCAAATCGTAGTCAAGGTTGTAAATGAATACACATAGATGACTGTTTGACATGATACGTCACTGTAGTACACAAAGATTCCACTAGACTGGTCAAGTCCTTGTTAACTCTTTTATTTATTTATTATAAATAGATGTTTAATCTATACGAAACAATGAAACGAACACCCTGTTGGATTAGGTGTCTAAGCTCATAACTATAGTTGGTATGTACTTGACCCGAGAGTAGCATAGTCCATTTCAGGTTGCATATCACCATGACAATTTGATAGGATGAATATTTGAATAAGATGTTATTTATGATTTACTAATATATTATAAGTATAATATATTAATTGAGAAATCATATAATTTAATTAGTATTGATCACCAATTAATTTGATAGTAGGAATTTATATAAATGATATTATTTTTGGTTATACTATTTAGTACACTTAATAGTATAATTTAATTTAATTTAGAAAAGATTATAATTTCTAATGAATCAATTAAAATATTAGATTTCAAAAAGTATTTTTTATTAGAGTAAATTACTGAAATCGTCTATATGATTTGATCAAAATTATGTGTTTCGTCGCTAACATTTTTATTGCACTCGGACCGTCCCTGTGGTATTCATTTATTTCGATTTTGGTCCCCAATAGGCTTAACACGACTATATTACCCTTCTTTCAAATAATTTGTATTTTTAATATTTATTTATTTCTTTTATTCTTTTAAAATAAACAAGGGTACAACCCCATTAAGCTAATGTACAACTATAGACACATACCCTAATTATGAGTTGGTGACCACGACCTAGACGCCGTCTTCCTTTTTTCTCTCACCAGCTTACTCCGCCGTCTCTCTTCTATGTCGGTCACCTCCTCAGGTCTGCTTACTTATTAACAAGATAAGCCATCACTAGAACGAGATCGAGGATGCTAAACCATAACCAATGTTCCTCTTCGCTACCACTAAACTTCTCATCTATTTATTTCTATGTATCAAACAAATCCTAGAGCAGGCACCATCGCTATATCGGAAACAACCACCACCGCCAAAGTAGCCGAAAATATGTTAAACGAGAAAACATAGCACCATCGCTATTTGCACATGTTTAATTTTGATTTTGGTTCCCCGTATTCGATTGGATACTCCAGTTTATGGATTTTGGTTTAGGGTTCAGGTTCATCCAAGTAGGGTTTGAGGATTTAAGCTCAACAATGCCAATTATTTGCATTTAATTTTTTGTTATGACCAAGTCCCGATTTATGGATTCGATTTCTTGATATAAGTTCATTCCATTTGAAGCTTGTTAAGCTTGTTTAGTTTTGAATGGTTTGATTTTGATTTCATCAATGATTTCTAGGGTTCTGATTTCATTAACGATTTATGATTTGAGAATCGATCATCCATGATTTATGAATTTAATTTTCGGGCATGATACTTGTGTTTAATTTATGGGTTTGAGCATCCTTTCATCGATTTACGCACCACCTATGATTTTTCGGGGTTTGATGTTATTTTGGTTCACCAGATTCGATTGGATACTTCAATTTATGGATAATGGTTTGGGGTTCAAGTTCTGCATTTTTGTTTAATTTTTAGATAGAAAAAAGGAGAGGTGGTGGTGGACAAAGTTAGTGTTGCTGTTAGTGGTGGTGTTGATCTTTGATGGCGGAGGTGGTGTTGATCTTTGATGAAATAGGTGGTGGTGCCGATGAGGATACATAAAGGTGGTAGTGATGGTGAATAGTTGGTTTTCTGGGTTTTAGTGGAGATGTCGGTGGTAGTTAGAAAAATGTTAATGGTGAGTTTATTAAACAATTATTTTTAAAAGATTAGTAATAAATCAATAATAAGCAAAAAGAAAAAATAAATAAATAAGGATAATATTTGTCTTTGACATTTTCATATCTGTCAAGGATGAAAATCGCAACAAATGAATACCACAAGACAGTCTAAATGCAAAAGAAATGTTAGAGAGTGAAGAAAAATATTAGGGACTAAGAGATAATTTTAACCTAACGGATTTCAATAATTTAGTTTTTTTATTAAAATATAGGATAATGAAGATTTTAAGGAAGAAATTTTTTTACGCCTTAGAATCTACTTTAGTTGTCATGTACGACTGGTCCTTTCCACATGTCCAGCTCAACTCAACGGATCGTCAAAAATTCCAGCTTCGCATTTTAGACTTTTCTTTACTCCCCTGTACCCGCACGCATCCAATCTTTTCTTCTCTTTTTCTAATTTCTCTCTCCCCTTTCTCGGTCGACATTACAAAGGCACGCTAAATTCTCTCTCTCCATCTTTGATCTTTCTCTCTGGCTGTGTACAACTAAACGATCTGTGAAATCTCTGCCAAAATCATAAGTTTTGAGGTCAGTTTCTGGATTCTATTCAGTTTATGTGTTTTTATTCATCATTTGGTCTTCTAATCACTACACATGTATCGGGCGTGGTTAGATCTGTTGTTTATGAAAAAATCTGGATGTTAATTGATGCGCAGCTCGATTTTTATGCTATGTGTTTGTTCAATTCGTCACTTTGTCGGTGATTGATCAATTTGAATTGATTTTTGAAGTGGATCGTGTCAATGTTGATTGACGTTTGTGTTTTTTTTAATACAGTTAGGGTTTTGATTGGAGAAATGGGAAGTCGGTTGAAGGAGGATGAGAGGAATGAGAGAACTATACGGAATCTGTTGAAACTTCCTGAGAATCGGAGGTGTATTAACTGCAATAGTCTGGTACTGTGTCCACTTGTTTCTGCCTTTTTGTCGGATTTTGTACTCTGTTAGATCAATCAGTTATCTAATTTTGATATTAATTTACTTGAATTTTCCTATTCTTGAAGTATGCAGTTTCTTTATATTGGTTACTTGACTGTCCGTGCCACAATTGGACTTAAAACTTCAAAATTTGGAAAAGATTAAAAACATATATATAGTTGCAGAAGCTTAACTGAGGATAATGTGTAGGTCAGTAGTATATTATCTGTACTCCCAATTCACCATTTAGCATTCTCTCTTTCAAAAGAGTTGCAATTTGCAAAGTGGATGGAGGCGAGTAGCAAATTAGCAATATCTATATGTATTAGAATCTGACTAATTGGGAGTTACTATCAGCAATTGAATCAACTTCTGGATTCTATGTATTTTCTTCAAAGTTTAAAGAAAACACATAGGGCTCATTTTAGTTAGTGATCAGTTGTTATCTTTGAAAGAAGTTAGATGATACTAGTTATTTTCTTAAGCTTTCATGACATTAACTTCAATAGTGGTGACACAAGTGGAATTTGGGGATTATAAGATTTTTTGGTGATGATATCAGTATGCTTCTTAAATATATGGACAGCATTATCCATGACTGCTCCCTATTCATACTTCATACTGGTGTCATAGTCATTTGTTCTTAAGAGAAGAAGTTGTATTCTTTGCTAACTGATCGATAAGATAAGATATCTCTATATTTCCTTACTTTATAACTCTTTTGTCTACCAGCACATTGTTAGTCTGTTGCTACTATGATTTTAGCAGTTAGGGCCTAGGGGGGCAGAAGTGGAAGCACAATTTCATTTAAAAATCATTGTCTTTGTTTCTATAGAATGATTATTTTTTGAATAGGATTTATCATATTGAAAACGTAATAACTCTAAACTTATACTCAACATTTAGTATCAACTTATCGACCGAGCTTTATGAGTTCCTTTGCAATAGACCATGTCAAGCTTGGATCACATTTAACCATATTCAACAAGATGGGCTCAATCCTATGATTTTAGCTTATGTAATCAATTTGGCAAATTGATGTGAAAATGAAGGTGTGCACTATAGTTTTTACTTGCTTTAGTGATAAGAGTAAAGTCAAGGAGAAAAATAAATAGATTGATGTGGAAATGAATCTATGTATGGGTCATCCATTAGTGAGCATGACAAAGAAACATTGTACCTCAATAATTATAATGGAAATTAGACATGGGCCATCCAATTAGTGCAATTGTCTTATGAAGTTGTTTCACTCCATTTGCAGGTCTTATTTCTTAAAATAGAATTCTTATGCATGAATGTGCTTTAAATTAAAGAAAATGTCACATGCTATTTTGGGTTCTTGATATAATCCATAATTATAATACAAGCCTTAGGCTGGAATAATTCTAAAGTATTTACTCTTGCTTTTCTACTTAGCTAATTCTTAGGGGGTGTTTGGTTCGCATGAGGTATTGGAAGGAATGCAATCTATTAAAGGAATTGGGATGTGAATGAGTTGGAATCTGTTATGTGTTTGGTTGACACAGGTGTGTGTGGGGGGGTAGGGTGTGGGAGAGATGATTGTAATATGTTTTGATTTGATGAATCATGCCTAAAATAAAGAGGGCATTTTTGCCTTTTTAATAAAACACAAGGAATTGAATCTAAAATCTTTGCCCTTTGCCAAAGCTCATTAAAACACAGAATTGAATGGAATTTAAAAAATCCCAGTTGGTGTCAACCAAACACAGTTTTTACTGGAATTTACATTCCAATTCCTCCAAATTCTATCGAAATCCATGAACCAAACACACCCTTAATTTCGGTCATGTTTAGTGACTTTAGACGTTCTTGAAGTTATTTGACGATAAAAGTTAATGCCAAAAAAGTCAAAACTATGATCATTTTAGTATGTCTCATCATTCATGCTATTTATCTGCTCAATAGGGACCTCAATATGTGTGCACAAGCTTCTGGACATTTGTTTGCACAACTTGCAGTGGCATACAGTAAGTACCAAACAAACCAACTTACTTTTGTTAAAAAAGAATTCCATTTTCATAGAGAATAAAAATATTTAGCAACAAGTCTTATTTAAAATAACCATTTAAGCATATACTTCAATTTTCTACAGCCGAGAGTTCACTCACAGGGTTAAATCCGTGTCAATGGCCAAATTTACTACTCAAGAAGTTAGTGCTCTTCAAGGAGGAGGAAATGCGGTAATTTTGCTATGTTTCTTTATTCTTTCAATCCAGCAATAATGTTACATAAATTACCAAGTTTGACCTTTCTTTTATTGCAATATAATAGAGTGCCAAGGAAATATATTTCAAAGAATGGGATGCTCAACGACAATCCTTCCCCGATAGCAGGTTTGTCAATCATAAATGTAATGTAACAACAACCATTTCTTTCTTTCCTTTTTGTGAACCTTGTTGTTGTTGTTGTTGTTGTCAGTAATGTTGAGAGACTTCGGGACTTTATCAAACATGTTTATGTGGATAGAAGATACTCGGGTGAGAGAAGCTTTGAGAAGCCTCCTAGAGCAAAAATGGTAAGGAATGGAATTGGAATGTGATTACTTCTATTTTGTTATTGACCAATTTCCTATTATTAGGGGGAAACAACAGAAGACACATACCAAGGTGGTTCCAGAAGCCCGCCGTATGAAAACGAGCGGCGTTACAGCGACCGCCCTAGTCCCGGTGGAAGAAGCGACACGAGTTCCAGAAACAGTTACGATGAAAGGCGCAGTCCGGAATACAACAACCAAAGCCAAGATTTCAAAAAAAGTAGCCCTGCGCGTGGTGGTGGTGATGTTGTCAATGACTGGCGTCGGGAAGATAGATTTTCAAAAACTCCCGACTTAGGCCGCTCCCCTGATCGCCAAAAAGACATTTCTAGCCCTCCTTTAGTTAGACCTGTTAGAGAGATACTCGGAGAAAGTGTCTCCCCTTTGAGAGTCATTGAACCTCCTCCCAAAACCAATGGCGGCTCAACTTCTTTACAACCACAGAGAACCGCGTCTTCTAGTAGCCTGGCGTCTTCCAATGGGAATCCTCCTGTAACTGAACTAAGAAGAGAAAGCTCTTTGATTGATTTTGACACTGATGATCCTCAACCTACTCCTTCAACCACTTCGGTCCCACAAACACAGCAAATTCCGCCTTCTGTTCCTGTTTCGTTAAGCGACAATTGGGCAAACTTTGATTCAACTCCAACTCCAACTCCAACTCCAACTCCAGTGGTAACAAAGCCGATGCCTTCTTCTCAAGCTCCTTCAAGTGGTGCTAACTTGCTTGACATGCTTTCTGAGTTATCAGTTCCTGCATCTGGTAACAACCCACAAATATCACTTTTTGGCACAAATCCTCCTCCTCCTGCTGCTGTTGCACCACCATCGGCGTTTGCCGCTGGCGGTGGTCCGGCGGCACCATCACCGCCACCGTTTGATGCGTTTGGGAACTCTGGTGGTGGACCACAGTGGCAAAATGTGCAGCCTCAGCAAAACGTTATGCAGCCTCCTGCATTGTTTAATCAGGCTCCAACTACAAGTGTAGATTCTCAAGTTACATCTAAACCTGCTGCTAAACAAGAATTACCTGCGGTAATAATGGCGTATGTTTTTGTGGGGTTTATTTATTTTTTTGGTTGTATGAATTTAAAATTTCTAATGACTTGTGTAAATGGGTGTGCAGGATTTATTTACTTCAAGTTATTCACCTTTTGGTGGACAGGGTGCTCAAGGGTGGTACCCTGCTCCTCAATATGGGATGGGATTCAACATGCAATATAATGTTCCAATGGTATGAGTTATCACACAACACAACTCATTACTTTTTATTTGTAATTTACTGTTTTATATTTGAGATGGTATGTTAATAAATTAACGAATTAATTGTGTTCTTTAATCTAGCAGCAGCAGATGCCAGCAGCATTTGGGCAGCCGCCAAGATCAGCAAATCCATTTGATGTGAATGAATCAGCTCCAACAGTAAGCATATATCGTTTTCTTTTGTTTTACTATTTAGATACTAAAAACCATTTTTCATTCCATTTATTTAATGACACAATTAATTTATAATCTTATTTGGTAGATGTTCCCTTCGATGGCTCCGTTGCAGAATGCGTTACCAAACATGGGACCTCCTCCATCAGGTGTACAGCAAGCATGGATGCCCTCTCAACCTTCTCATCCTTTAGCAACGCCACCATATGGATCATCAATGCCCTCTGGTACACTCCTATTTCTTTTATTTCAAAATACAAGGGTATTTAGGTCTTTTAATAAAAAAAATGAAGAAAGAGATTGAATTACATATTCTTGATTTGTTAAATGTGTGATCTCTTGTAATATTGTGTCAGGCCCATTCATGGGGCAACCACCTCCAAACGTCCCGTCTCAACCTCAACCCAGGTAATTTTAAAAAAAAAATATTTCTCCAGCAGATTAAAAATTAAATAAATATATTGTATTGCAGGGGGCAAGTAGGAAATTTTGGATACGACCTCAGTTCTTTTGGTTCCTTGAATAATCCCAATCAACAACAAAACACCTTCTCTTCAAACCCATTTGGGTAATTCAAAAAACCACAAAAAAAAAAAAATCCTGAATATAAATTGGTAATGAATCAAGGAAGGAGCATTTGCATTGCATCATCTGATTGCTTACTCCTGAATATCATCAAAGGGAACAAAATTCCTATGTAAAAACAGTGTTTTTGTTGTAAGAAAAGAAAAGGAATGTGGGGGAGGAGGATGGTTTTGGTGAACTTTTTTGTTTTGGGTGATTTTTGTTTGCTTTTTTTTATTTTTAAAATTATATATTGTATTATTGTTATTAGCCTTGATTTATATTAATTATTGTTTTTTTTTTCTTTTGTTGGGATTCGTATTGCTTTCTTTTTTATTTTGTTTTGGTGTTATGTTGTAGAGATCCAAGGTATAGTTTTATCATGTATACCTTTACATGTTATATTCAAAGTATGTTCCTATGTTACATACCGAGTAAATGCTTGAATACTGAAAAAAGGTTTATCGGGTGTAATATGAATCAAGTGGTTGATATTTGTACTTTTAATTAGGATTGAGTTACTACAATGGCATCCAGTTTTGTATTACATTAACCTTAATTGAACTTATTATGAAGCTAAAACATATTTTTGGTGATGCATTGCATTAGCAAATTTGGATGGTTTGTGCGTAGCAGTAAGGGTGAGCTATGTAGTACTCCACACTAAGAAAATGCAAAATGGTTGGATTTCTTTGATCTATGCCATGTTTAGTGGGCTAACTGAATAGCTAGATGAAAGATGATAAACTAACCGATAAAAATTCACCTTTGAAAAACTAACGGCTAAGGTAGCTGAAATAACCGACATAAAAGCGTTTAAGGTAGCTGAAATAAACATATATATGGGGGATTTTGGAAATGTTCAATAAGTGGTTTGAATGGCTTTTTAAAAAGCTAGAAAAATTCGAAAAATAATTAAAAACAATTGTGAGAGTTTTCAATATTCTTGTCATAGAAGGCTTTCTTAATTTTGTTTCAACAAAAGATGGCATTTAATCATATAGTTAGACTTTAATGATTTATTTTAGTGAATATGAATTACTTAGTCTTGTATTAACAACCATTACACATGACAATTGGTGTACTCATGTCGTATATTTGTGTCAGATATGAATTTACACGACATAAATTGTAAAACATGTTCAGATATGAAACACGAACACGACATACAAATAATTTGTGACATGTGGCAGGTCACAAATATGACACATTTTTAACTGTGATAAAGAAACATATATTTACACAAATTTATACACAAAACACGAATGCTATATATTTTAGAAAGTAGCATGCTATATTTCAAAAATATATTTAAAAAATGAAAGTACATAGCTAAAACAAGCTTAATTAAGAAACTAACTTGTTATATTTCACTAAATTATTCGTGTTGTATATGTGTCGTGTGTCACATGAAAATTATGAGGTAAATCCGTGTCTAACCCGTGTAATACAAGAAACACGAATTTGAAATCCGTGTCAACACAAATAGAGACGAAATACGAATTTGCAAAACACATATGCAGAAAACACGTATCGTGTTGTGTCAGTCGTATGAAGAAACTCTCAAGATTTCTTCTAAAAATAGCTCTGATCTTGAAATATCATCATACAAATTTCAACATGAACTGGAAATGAAGATTGCAGAATTGAGGTTACAAAAGAAGGAGAAGGTAGCCATAAAATGTGAGTCTTATAAACAAAAGAGTCAGTTTAATAGAATCATTGAAGAGAGATTTGAAAACTGTTGAGGATATCTTATAAACAAAAGAGTCAGCCCAGGAGCAATTGGTGGAGACAAAGAAGGCAAAAGAGATTCTGGAACTAGAAATTCTTGAATTGAAACCGATCTTGATGAACGAAACACTTTAATAGAATCATTGAAGGGAGATTTGAAAACTGTTACTTTGAAAGAGGTGACAACATAAGCAATGATACTCAAGAGGAAAAATAGATGGCATAAGCATGATCACATGTAGGTTACTAATAAGTAATATCTCAACATATGTAGGTTCAATGAACATGGAACATATCCAGCCCTTAGTCTGGTTTTGTTGGCAATTCAAACCACCAGCTTATACGATATGCAACTTTTACCCCTCTAATTATATACATCTTTTTTTTTTTTTTCTTGTTTATAATCATTATTTCACGGGTCCCACAAGAGGTGGTCATTTCTGTTCTAATGAAACTCGGGGGAGGATGCCCATCTTTGGCTAATCAACTCAATGTGGATGCTTTACTTGAGCAAGCCCGATCATATGATAAAGCATCTGCAAGTCCCGTTAGAAGGTACATACGGTAATTTAAAACATTATAAAGACAATTATGCCCTTCTTTATGTTTTTTGGTTTGTTTGGTATGGTGAATGAAATCAAAAAGGAATGGAATGAACAAAGGACTGGAATAGTTCATTAATTTCCGGGTATCATGTTTGATTGACTGAAAGGAATGGAATGGGTTACTCAAACATGTTGTTTGTTGTGTATATTTAGAAAATTAAATAAAATTAATTTGATAAAAAAAGAAAAATGTTATTTTATAGAAATTTCTTTAATCAAATAAAGAGATATTTCTAAATTAATTACATATTTAGCCATCAAAACTAGAACGATAATAAGGATTATACGTATTTAGTCGTTCGATATACAAGGTGACACATTCAGTTGTACATGGACGTTTGCAATGAATCCATTATGGCACAATAGGAGACATCATGTACTCTCCTTATAACTCTACCTTGACATAATGATTACCATAGCCAATGCCAATTGCAATAGAAATGCGTTCATGAATTAGTGGTGGAGTAGATAAATACCACACGACTGTATACAAGATTAACCTTTTTGTCCCAATATTTCTATTGGATATTTTTTTAAAAGGATAATTGATTTTTTTGCCCTGTAATTCCCACTGTATATTTTTTACTTTTATAAATACCTCCACGATCGCATACAAGATTAGCTTTAGTTAAAAGCCCACTTGCTCTTATCTTTCTCCTTCTTAGGATAATACTATAGCCAAGCACACGTCCCATCTTTTGCAACCAAGCTATTAAATCGTCACAAGATTTGAAAGTCTAAAGTTGACTTGTTTTGGTTAAAACTTACAATGCTACTTAACAATTCATGAAGATAAAATATATGCTAATACCATGTTTGTCTAAAATTCTGACGAGTTGTTGAAAGCTTCACCTCCTTCGTTTGGTTGAAAACTAATCATTTATATTGATGTAAAATGTTATAGAAGTTCTATAGAAGTAGTAATTGAGATTTATAAAAAAACGAATAATGTTAATTATAGATGTGTAGTACTTGACATTTATATAAAAATGAATTATTTTTTGAAATTTGTAAAAGTTATAAATAAAATGATGCGTTATTCTTTCAAATTGCAAACTGTAAAAAAAGTTTTTTTTATTTTTTTATTTTTTTTTTATTTTTTATTATAGAAAACAATAAATTATTGTATAAAAACAAATTTATAAAAAATGTTTAAGTTAATATAACAAATAATGCACTACATTAAAAATAAACTACTGTTGAGGGACCAGAAATTAAATATCTTTATTAAATTATTTCAAATAAAAATGAAAAGAAAAATATACAACATGGGTAAATAGTTGTGGGACAAAAATCAAAAAGTTGCATGGTTAATAGAGAAATTAAATTGATTCTTATTTTTTATAGCTATAAATATTCTTACCACTAACATTATGATACGTATCATCATTCCATTATTAATTTAATTTTATTTGATATATTTTTAATATACTCTTAATGAAATAGTTAAGTAAATATAAAATGGTAACATATATTATATTTTAATAAAAAGAAATATTTTTAGGTATAAAAGATAGGAGACAATTTAATTTCTTTTTTAAATATACTTTATGTATTTCTTAAAAATGGATATTAATTGAGATAATAAATTGAATGTTAGATTTGTTGTTTTTTTTTTTTTTTTATAGAGTTTTAATTTCCCAAAAATTAGTATTCTAATTTTATTAGAATCGTTGTTGAGTTTTTGAGTAGATTTTTGTGCTTCTGTTAGAACATTTATCGTGCCCAATAATAAATTATAATTGATTTTCTGATAATTTAGAGTTAATTACATATTTGAATAATTTTTATAATTATGTATAAATTATAATAAAACGTGGGGCCAAATAGGTTTAACAAGGCCAAATAGGTTTTAACAATCATATAAATCCATTATTATATATAGTATATAGGTCTAATACAAGTATTAATTAGAACACCAAAAATCAGGGGGGCCATGGCCCCGGACACTCTCATAGCTCCGTTCTTGACTGTCATCTCCATCGCCATAGTTGTCGCCCTCCACCTCCGCCCCACTACCCACACCTCCCCTATCTCCGCTACCATCACTTCCACTACCTCAACCATCATCACCTCCGACACCACAAACACCAACATAGCCAATCTTTTTTTATGAAGACTTACAAAAATAAACAATTTTTTTTAATGAAGATTAAGACATGGAAAAAACGACTTTTGGACCATATTATATTATACACACATAGAAAAATACATAAAATATTTTACCTCTTAAAAATACATAAAATATTTTACCTCTTAAAAACAATCTCCACCTTACAAACAAGAGCAACCGCCATAAGGTGTGAAGCCACTACCGAGAATTGCTGTTATTGTTGTAAAAACACTTCCCACATGAATACATGATGCAATAGTTTACAAGGTGACAGGCCATAATAATATTAAAACTTATGGATAATAAGGGTCTCCCTCGAAAAAGCCTTCTTCATGTGGAACAATGCCAACGAACTTGACATGTATGTCATAGTTTCCCATTGCACGTTGCGTTTCTTGAATTTTATCTAAAAACGGCTTCGCACTCAAAGATTCAAGATGAGATAACAAGGCAAAGTTAAAGATTGTGTGAGAAACAGAACACCCAAGCTTCTTGATATTGGGAAAAGATTGCAGCAAAGTTTGATCTCCATCACCTAAACCGAGCCTGGAAATGGTATGCATGTTGAATAATACAGGATACCTTTCATGGGAAACCAGTGCGATGACCCTTTCACTCCATAAATACCTCAGATTCTTCAT